TTCAATTCTGTCTTACAGGAATGATGATACAGCTATCGTGCTTTCTCATGCTACAAATTACAGGAAGTGATAGGAAAAAAGTAAGTGTCGTAAATACTATATTGCTGTGCAGTGTTTTGCTTAAGCACTTGGGTAAATTTTACTTGTAATTACCCAGGTGCATTTTCCCCCTATTAATACATCTGCGTCTTTGAAGTAATATTCCACTTCAGAAATATAATATTGCACTTACTAAATACAATAGTTTAAGTCCCACTTCCAAAAATGTCTTTTGCAGTGAAGGTATTATGTCAATGCAAATATACCCATTGTGCATCTCCATTTGCCAACTTCACCTTTAGAAACAGTTCAGTCACTTGAATGCCATTTTACCTAAAATTTATCCCCTTTTTGAATCAGGAGACAAGTATCTGCATTATTTGGAGAGATCTTCATGATCAACAAACTGCCCTGAGCTACTAGAACAGAGCAAACATCCATTCCCTCAAAGCTCCTTCTTCTCGCAGTTTGAAATCACTACGGAAAAATACCTTAGAAAACTATCAAGCTGCTTTCTGATGATGTTATTAAAACCTTAGTAGAGATGCATGCTGAGAACAGAGCTGTCAGGATATGCCACAAAAGGGCTGGAACAAGTCCATTACGCAAAAGATGAACACAAAACCAAACAAGACCTGTCATAGCAGCCTCCTTCCCCAACATAACTGGTGTATGCTTCACCTCACTGATCGAAAAGCAGTTTAAGCCAGCACTTTCACCTTTCCCCTGTCCTCTTCCTCATACTAGCACAAATATCTCTGAGATATCACGGACTGGTTCCCTAACCCGGTTAACCACGTTAGGGTTTTGACATTTTTGAACCGCTTTCACCTACATGTGCTACCACATAAACTCCCATTAGCACCAAAGAACAGGTAGCACAGAGTTAGGACTCTCTTGGGGAAGTAACACCAGCTTGAAACTGTTCACCGACTTACAGCATAGAGCAACTTAAAAGCTTAAAGATGTAACACACTCTCCTTTCTGCTATGAGTTCACAGGGTCTACAAAAAAGTGTCACACCTAGTTTGTTAGAGTTTTATACTCATTACATTTGAATGAAGTTTATACACTGTAAGATCACAGACTGCCCGACAGAAATTACTTTGATGTGCAAACATACCTGGTGGTTATCTATACCAGTATTAACAGATATTAACAACACAAGCTTTCTTGAAAAACACTTGAAATTATTTGAAATACTGCTCTTTAGGACAAAGGTTTGAAATGTGCCATAGAGTGCCTTGCTCTATTATAGCTTGTTCATCTGCAACACTGGTCACTAATTTTCCCACATTTTAGATAGAAGATTCACCCCAAAGTGCTGCTATTAGACATTAACCATGCAAGCTACAAAAACCAAACTTGCAAATCATCTCAGTACTTTCATATTCAAAGTTATCTTACCTAAATACACAAAAACTGCCACATTCAGAAACTCCTGAAGACAAAGAATTTCAAGTTAAGATTTCTGTCACTATTCTGTCAATAGCTTAAAGAGGTTGAAGCTAAATTCTTTCACTTAACAGTTCTGTTAAAGTTCCCAGGACCATAAAATGGGTCAACAACTCAAGTAACTTACTTCATCAAGTCTTCTGTCAGTGCCCATAGCAAGAAGGTTATTAAATTCCCTCTCCAGAACAGCACGAGCCTAAAGTTTATAGTACAAAAGAAATGGAAATTAATTCCAAAAGATTAGTAATTAGTAACCTATAGTAATTTTAAAAATTTAATATAACCCAAATTGTTTAATACCTTCTTATCAGATTAATAAATTAGTACTTGAAAAGTTACAATTTAAGTTGTAACTTATTAAAAATCTAAGCAAGACTTAACAGCCCCCTCCTTCCATTCGTTGTGATATGAAAGTTCATGATTTCTGGCTCAAACTTAATTACTTCAGAATAAAAACTAGCAAACAACAAAAATGATGAGTTTTACACTAATGTTATGAAGATGAGCTATGAGGAAAATATTCAAACAATATTTTTTCTTCAAGCGAATTTATGAACCAGAATTGTTATTAACCATTAGAAAACAGTGAAGCATAGTTCTATGCTTTTCTCCTATAGGATAATGGACAACTTTTCCATTTCTAAAGTTTCTGGAGCTGGGAATAGAAGGACATGCACTTATCTAAGAACAAAAACAGTTAGTTCCATTTTTAACCTTCCTAGAGGGGAGAAAAAAAATCCTATTGGACATAAAGTAACTACTTCTTGCTTACCTGTGTGTTTTGAGTGGGTATTTGTAGTAAGAGAGCTAATGCATTGTAATCAAATGATTCATCTAAGGCCACAAGTGCACCATGAACTCCGCTCTCTATAAGGTTATTTGCGTATTCTTTAAGACCAATGGACACTACCCAATGGATCATTCTTTCATTGCTCCAGACAAGGACATCTATAGAGAGAAAAAGTTGCCTGATTTATAACAATACAACTTTTCTGAACAAAAAGCCCACAGTCCTTTCTTGTTCTGTATGCTCGTGTTGGGACTGATTTTCATATATACACAATTCATCATAAATGCTGTTAAGTAGTAGCCCCCAAGGAACTGTGTTATTTAACATTTAGGTTGCGATCCAATCTGCCCCTGCCTTTTTGGTGTGCATGAAACGCTCTGAATTGGCAACAAAACTTCATGCTTAGACTCCAACACTCGGTTGGATCCCTTCCATACAATAGTTTTCCTTGCACCCAGAAGGAATAGTCCTGGCTCAATCTCCTCTCTCCGCCTACAGAGGGAGGCTACAGTCACAGTTATGAGACAAGTTCAGCTGGGCATAGTGTTCATGCAGATGGGGAAGACAGGATCTTCTATTTTACACAGCCACTTAGGGGCTTGGACCTCACCCAAGACAGATTAAGTATTTTGGAATAAAAACTTGACTACTCAAAAGAAAAATCTTATAGCAGTTTCTCATGCACTTCCTACTGAATTTGAACAGAAAGCTTTATTTATTATTGTTTAAAGATTTATTAGTTTTATAATCTTATCTACCTTTAAGTTCTGAAGGTGTTCAATTTAGTATTGCACTTACCTTCAGCTTGTGCATACTACTACTTTTCCACAACCATAAATTTAAAGCGGAAAGTAAACATACTTGAAGTTTGCTGGAAGACATTTCATACTCTAACATTTCAACAATCAATATGCTCTCATCTTAGAACTTTTTCAAGGAAAAACATTATAAAGCAGCATTTACATGTTCAGCCCAAACATCAAAACAAAAACTATGTTCTTACAAGTAGGGTTTTTTTTTTTATACTATGTAGGAATGTCTATACCAATCGAACAGTTATAATGATCCACAGCATGTTTCTGGCCTATGTCAACTAGCATTCTTCCCAAACAATTCCCAGGAGGCATTCAAGAGTTGTATCTTCCAAGGAACAATTCCCTATAGGCAATAGATGCAGCCATACCATTTAGGAGGCTAATAAAGGCTTCCCAGCCGCAACACAGGCTTGTTTCATGCCAGTTAGTTGTAATTCCTGGGAACGTTCTCAGGCACAACTAGTAGAATAACCACGAAAAGGTATCAACTTTTTAAAAGGAAAGCGAAAGAGCAGGCACAGAGCCTTCTAAGCAAATTGCATACAAGGCAACCCTAAAATTTTAGTCTACAGTATCAGAAAAGACTTCTGATAGGCAGAGAACAAAATTTCTACGGGAAGTCTTGAAAAATAATGTGAATTCAACCCTGCTTTTTCTTCTTTTTCTCCTTTCTTGTTCAATAATCACCATGAATCCGGAAGATATAAACACCTAAGTCACCTGGATATTTTTTCATGAAGTGCTGGGTAATAAAAAAATACCAGCCACAAGCAACAATAAAATCATGTAGATGCAAAATTATTATGTCAGAAGCAGGGGGGGGGAGATACTTTTTCAAAACCCTCATCCTCCTTAAAACATTAGTTTTGTTTCAAACTTCAGAGCAGTAAGAGTTTCAAAAATGCCTGCATTTGTAGCACATGTCTGCACGAGTGAATGATTTAATGATGTGCTTCATGATTCACTGTTTGGGGCCTGCATCCAGACACATCTCCTGTATTTAATACTTGATATTTTACAAATAATTCCTCCCTATAATGCCTTTTTTTTTTTTAAAATAAATTTTTGAGGCAGATCAGCAAAAACACGTTAGAATCAGACTGAGGTCAAGACAACGCACTAACCCTTAATTTCATTCTGGCTTTCTTCTCTTTTTCTTTCAAGTTCTTTTCGATCATAATTCAGTCTTCGTAGGCACATAATTCCACACTGAAAACTGTTTCTGTTTAGAAAAGAAAAAAAACATTTAGAGAGAACGGAAACGTTTACTGTAAGTTAGGTCTCCAACTTAAACCTATTTACCTGTGAAAGCTGTCCACCATTTTAAGTTGCCCACGCAGATCTTTTTTAGTTAAATGATCCAGCATTCGAGCATCAACAAGACATTCCATGAAATAGCTGCGATACTGAGGGAGCCCCAGACTAGGGAGCCATTCATTGCCAATCCACTCATGGTTCATATCACCATATGCTAACGTCTGTTTTTAAAAGATTAAGGAATAAACTTATTAAAATGAGAAAAGCTTTTTTAGACAACGTATTTTAAAGAAAAAAGTAAAACAATGCTTACTTAATTCTTAGCCTGTAAAGATAAGCAAATAAAAATACTGAATACTACATGTACTTTTTCTGAAGAAGTCACCTCACGAAGAAAAGCAAGTTTAGATATTCAGATCAGCAAGTAAAACTGCCTTAATTTATCATGTTTAAGAGTATGAAAAAATATGCAAAAACTAATAATAAGAAAGACTAATCTATACTGTTTTGATAGCAAGAGCCATAGAATTTAATTTTGTTAAGATGCAAAAAAATACTGTATCTCTTGAAAACTGGGGAGGGATTCTTATTTTTCAGATGACCATATAAATACAAGATATCAAAAAAATAACTGCAGGTTTGTTTTTTTTTTTTTTTAAATGCACTTAACTGTTTTCAGAAACTGATCCCAATCAAGTAAGCAAAAAAAGATAAAAACCCGCTACTGAAGAACAAGCAATTCTAAGTGCTTGTCCTTATCCTAAAAAAACCCAAACCAATAAAAAAAAAAAAAACCAACTTCCTTCATTGCAGTTCTGACCTGCAAATCATCAGGCATTTTTTGGAGAAAACTTTTAAAAAGAAGAGAGTTTGTAACTATGCATCTAATCATTCCTGGAGCAACAAAAAACAGCAGCTCTTTTTTTCAAAGGTCAAGGGTAATAATTCATTTTTACTATGCAATTGAAAGTCAAAAGTTTTATTTCTCCTCTAGAGGAAGCATCTTCTAGAAAGGAGCAAGGCCACATAGAAATGCATTTCTTCAAGCCATCGCTAGGTAGCAGACTGAAAGAGCATGTTACTCTTGTAACAGGGAGGCAAGCTATGATTGTTATCATTGACAATCTGCAAATGAGTATCTGAGACATAGTTAATGGGACTTAAACAGGTTTAAGCTGGAGGGCAGCCAAGCAAGAAGAGACTATACTCTCCAAAGATACAGATCACAGGCAAATCCTGAGTTTTGTTTATATCCCTGTATAAAATACTCGACTGTCTCAATGCCTGAAAATACAATTAGGATTTGTCACCACTTTAAGGGAAAACAATTCATCAAGGAGGATTACAGAATTAGTGCACAGAAATCTACTTAACTATCTAGGCTCAACATGTCTTGTAGCACACCTGTGAGAGTAGCCAGGTTGAACAGGGACTTTCTGCACACAGAAGATATTCTTGTTGGACTTCTGGCTTCCCAGAGAGCCATCCCCCACCAAAACACTCCACATTTTTTATCATGAAATTACTTTAAAATTTGATCTAGTATGTTCAATACATAGAATACAACAATGCTTATTAAGAAAGAGTAACTTCATTTTGGTGATTCATAAGCTAGAGGAGAAATATTTCAGAAAGCTAATGATAACAAAGACTTCTGAATATTCTTCTCCTAACAGCCTTATTATTAAAAATCCTTATGCATAGCTTTTTTTGTGACGTACTATGTAACAAAGTATTTTACAAATTTTCAATGATGAATCACCAAATCTTGGAAGTTCTAGAAAACATTAAAATATTTAAATTACCTAAATACAAAAGTGTACCTTCCAAATATGTAATATACAGAGATAAGCCTGTAGTTTCCCCCTCTCCCAATCCCCAAGCCACACCAAGATTCACTAAAAGAAACTGCTATAAAGGAAAACCAGATTCTTTCATCTCTAATTGTGACAGTTTACATATAGTCTATAATATTACATAAAGTTTCCAACCTGAGCCCAGCTTCCCTCCTCATCTTCCTGTTAGGTGGTTAGAAAAGCAAAAGAACACATACGTATTAGTATTTAAGTTTAGTAAGGAGATCAAAGTTAAAGATGCACTGCAAGTCTCTAAGTCTACTGCATACCAAAAAAAATCTAGATAAAGCAAGCATCATGCATTGTAAAAAAAATATACAAGGCACTCGTTTTCGTATGAGAGGTTGCAAAACCCAACTACTGATTAAGTTTTCTGGAAAGAAGAAATTTCCGCAAAAGTAATTCAATTTATCTATTAGTTAATCAAATCAGAGCTCCATTTTACAGATTAGAAAGAGCTTTGTTTACAGTCTTATCAATGTTGATTTTTTCCCCCTTCTGGAAAAAAAACTATCAAGATGCAGGTTACAAGGTTAATAATTAGAAGAAGCAATGATCCAGAATTTTAATGCATTAATTTGGGGGGAAAAAAAAAAAAAGACAAAAAAAGACCATAGGCACTTGATTCAAATGTTCAAAAGTGGAAAAAGCACTCTAAGGAACAGAAGTGGCAACACTTTAAACTAACCGTTTGTTGTGTGGCTGTAAGATTTTCCATTTCTTCATGTGTTACCCAGACATTTCCCGTGGTCTAATATGACCCCACAGGGAACCAATCCCATCCAGTGAAAGGAAAGCAGTAACAAAGAGGAGAGGTTGCAGAACATATAAGCAATCGGTACATGTAAGGAGCAGGCATGGGCAAAAGCAGTGGTTTCTAAAGTCTTAAGTATATCTACTGAAAGTAATGGCATGGAATAAAAGCCTATTAACATGGATCACTTTTCTTCAAAGATATTAACAAAATTGAATGTGATAAATAGCTTACGTTGATGTAATTAATGGGTAAACACTTGACTCTGCTCTAATCTGAAAAATGCGTATTAGTCTAGTACTGTAATCCCAGGAATCTCAGAAATAACTTCAGATTGCAGGGCAGACTCATGAGAGGGAATTCACATTAACTTTAAGTGTCTAAATTTACTATAGTATAGAGAGACAGGTGGACTCCTAGTTTATGTAGGCTGAATCATTATTTGGAGTTAATGGCCTTATACATGGATTAAAAGAACCTCCAACTATTTTACAAATTTCTGTATGCACATGTATACTTCATCTGTATTATAAATTCTTCTGAGGCCAAAAGATGAGCCAAATAACATGTACTCTAAATATTCTGGATTATATACTTACACTGATATAAACTTCTCTCTCCCTTAAAAAAGAAAATGTAGTTATTCCTTCATTTAATTTCCATGAAAGGAAAAAACTTCCTATATTTAAATAATGTGTTTCTCTACAATTTAATGTTTCCAGAAATTCTTATTTGAAGCTCAAATCCTTTCAGTTACATGTTTACGGTAGAATTTTTGGATATTCTAAAGGTTCTAAAAGACGTTTAATGCTGGATCACTTTCCTTACCGTCCTTGAGGTGGGAGGGGCAGATGGACTTGTTAGTGACATGATTTCTTGAATGGCCAGCCTCAGCTTCAGTCTGTGCAGAGGATTACTAATTCCAATTTCACGCTGTATTTCTGTATCAGATAAGGCCGACATGATAGCACCGCTTTTCACATTTGCTCGGCAAGCAGCCACATACCAGGCTGGCATCCCAACCCACAGCTGAAACACAAAAAAAAGGAAGTAAGCAGGATCTGGAAAACATTCCTGGCTACAAAACCTTAAATCCTTTAGAAGTCTGAGGTCTTTATTTTTTTATTTATTTATTTTGGAGGGACCACCTACCTCCAACCACACAACCACAGTAGGCCCATCCCACTGTGCAAAAGGTAAACCTTGTCTTCTGGCTTCCTCGAGCAACTCATGCCTACAATTACAGAAATAGTTATTAATAACAAAGAGAAACTAGTTATAACTGGATGTTACAATTTAAACACTGCATTCAATTTACTATCTTCTTTCTAAGTGGTTAGCTTTCTTCCTTTCTCAGCCTTACATGATATACCCACTAAGGCAGCCACAGCACACGTACAAGGACTATATGGTGACGTAGGCTGAACTGGATAGGAAATTTTAGAGTGGCAGAGACACTGGATCTTGCCTTTCAGAAATTTGTGTCTGAAACTGCTACTGACACTCTAACCACCACTGCCAACACAAAGTGGAGATGTCAGACTTATTTGTCAGTCAGATTCTCAATTGCTGCAATTTTCTGTTCAGCAAATTAGACTGAACCAAAATAGTCATTTTTCCTCAACATGCAGATTTGAATCTGGGGAAATGTATGAGTACATCAGATACCCCCGCCATCGAAACGGTACTGTCCATCAGGCTGTCGAGGCTGGAAACTGGGACAGTAAGCTTTTAATTGGTGAATTTCAGTCTGCAGCAGCAAGCCTGTCAGAATTTCAGGCACAGCCTCAGACAACCATTATATTCAGAGAGCCACGCTTTGGCAATTATATTCTGAAAGGCTGTGTACTGAAACTCAGCTTTCATCTCCTATGATGACACCATTTCCTTTGTTATTCTGAAACAGAAGAGACTGAAGTTTAATATTGACAATTCAGCTTACAGAAACAATGGAAGCTCACAAGATCCCTATAAATAGCTGCCAAAAATGTTTGATAAACCAAGAGACAAAAACTAGTGTTGCGGGTATTAGCATGCAATGTTGCTTGGATATGTCTGTCTGAAAAAATGGGTAAAGTCTGAAAAAAGCATATTTAAGCTGCCTTTGAAAGCTAGTTGTACATGGTTAAGTCTCCACTCACTCTCCTCAGAAGTTTAGAAAAAACAACTTCACCTAATTGGACAGTTTTTACTGTTTTATGCTTTTTATTTATGCCTGCAAGTGTAGAATTAAGAAGATAAGCAGCAATACTACAGATTCAGGATCCTATATTATGTATTTATAATTTTCTCACAATTTAAAACAAACAAAATCTCCTCACCTTCAGAACTGTATTGTTAAATACATCTACGATGATAAAATATTTAAAAGCTACAGATATTAAAAAACTACCATACAAGACATCTTGAAAAGAGGTTACTGAGAGACTCGTAGCTTTCTTGGCTAGTAGTGCAAAACAGGTATGCAGTATTCAGCTCTTTTAGACATGCCAGCATACCTAGGATCCTTACATTATATTGGTAGATAACTAAATATAAAAAATAATCAATGAAGTAATAAATCTACAGCAACTGTTTTATCAATAGGTAGTACTTCTCCACCTGCATGTCAATAAATTCCTATTACACTAGAAGAATCTCCCAATACTCTATCCTAATTAAATGTGCTGCCTAGGAATGAAAAAAGGGGAGGAACTGCCAGATAACTGGTTACAAATAACCATTCTAATGTACCCATTTTAAGACCCAACAATTAAGACGGAAACAGTGTTCAGCAGTTAGCAGCTCAATAGCTAGATTTCACTAACAAAGAGACGACCGTAAAAGTTAATACATATTTGTACACTTCAAAAAGATACATATATTTCTAAATTAGGAATGAAGGATCAGCTAATTTTCCTGCTACCGCGGAACACATTACATTACTCCCACAAATCACTAGCCCTGAACACGTTCAGTTTTGCTTCACTTTGTTGTTTAAAGATTAAAAAATAAGAAAAATAAATTAATAAGATATTATAAAATACTGCTTGGTAAGAACAGAATAAAATGCTTAATACTGTATTTGCCAGAAAGGAATACAATGTTTTTTTCCAAGTAGTTTTAACTTCAAAATTGGTGTCTTTGTCTTCCTTTTTGGTGGTTGTGGTAACACGACCGGGCAAGTGAGGGAGGCCCAGTAGTGACAAAAGAGCACAGACATGCCCAAAGTAACCTCAGGTTTGACTAGGATGACCCCACGAGAGCATGTAATCACTGTCTTTCCCTCAGCTTATAAAGCTGCTTGGGGTATTGCATGTAATTCAGAGAATTGCAGTGTAATTTCTGCTAGTTTTATAAGTCTCCCTGCATACTTCAGGTTAACCATGAAATAGCAAATCATTTGGAGATGAACAGTACAGGGAATGTATCAAAAGCATAAGGAAAGGTTATGATGCAAACTTTAAACTCATGGTGGTATTGCACGCAGAAAACAATTGTGCGGCTGGAAGGCAGTGTTATGTGATGGAGGCAAACATGTAGAAATGGAAACAAACAAACCAAAAATGTTTATAAGATAACTTTATACAGAAATTATTCAATGGATCCAAAGAGGAATGCATCCATGAAGTAGAAAATTAATTGCAGAATTTGTTCATATGCAAGAAGAGAGAGAAACTTGCTTGCACAGGAAATCATTAAACCGAACGCTCAAGACAGCACAGGCACAAAACATCTCATGGGAAGAATTCAAAGGCAGCTGCTGCTTTATCTGCAAATGATGCATCAATGGTTTCTTCCTATAGCAGAGAACTTCACTTTTCCAACAATTCCCTTCCAACTTCACCAAGAAACTGACTGCATTCCAGCAATACATGATCAGATTATGTAAAGATCACAACTGACATGCCAGTTAGTTTCACAGGCCATCCAATTATACCATTTAAGAAGTGGGTGCAAAATCCAGCCTCCCATCTTGGTGAGGAAAAAAAAAATATTGCAGTGGTAGTGTTGGCAGTGTCAACAGACGGTATAAAGCTGGCACTGTGAAGGACAAAAGAATGTCAGAGGAGTAGCTGGCTGCTGGAATAACTCTTAGGTGACAAAATAAAGGGATAGATGTCTACAGACTTAATAAGAAGTTGGCTGAACATCACTGGGAATGGGAGACTAAATGTGCTGCTGCAAGAGGGGAACACTTTTGTTAGACACATTCAAAAGGCATCTAACACCAGCTGTGGAAAACAAAGAAACTGTGGTCATATGGGACAAGAAATGATGTCAAAACTGCAGGTGCTTGATGCAGTAGTGAGCATACAAGGCCCTTTAAAGACCATTTGAAGGGTCTGTATTTAGAATGGCTCTTGGCAGGCAAGCATACTCTAACCCCACAAGGAAAATAAAGCAGCCCAGTGCAACACCACTTTGTCATTGGATTAAGACAGCATGGGAATGCATAAATCCAGAACTTGTAGCCAAAGGGGAATGCTGTATTCCAGATTTCTTGGATGGAACTGATGGTAACTGACTTGGAAGAAGCTGAGAGTAGGCAAGGTGGTGAAGGGAGTGATACCGATGGAAATGACAGAGTTGCAAGATGTAAAAACTGAAAGGCAACAGTAGCAAAACATGAGATGAAAATAGACTAACTTCAGGCAAAGCGTCAGTGCAACGTTAATATCCTTATTATATATTGATTTCAGGTATGTAATAAACTTTTTGTGTATAACTTTTCTTACCGAGAGTTATCTTAAATTTAGGGTTGCCTTCCTTTTTGATTAATACAGTATTTTGTTGTGCTGTATACAGAAAAGCACAAATACAGTTGTGGCAAACACTGTCAACAGTACAGCTCACAAAGATGATGAACAGCATGAACAAAACACTAAAAACAACTTAAATTTAGTAAACAAAGAGTGATGGTTTACAGAAATACATCTACCTTGGAAATTAATTGCCACAAATATCTACTATTGCTAAATAACTTTCAAAACCCAAATTACAAAACTAATTCCATCTAAGTGGGGTTTAATACTTCCATTATAAAAATTCACACCATGCAAATTAAGACAAGACATTGAACTAGCATTCACACCGAATTAGATGACACTGGATTTATTTCAGCAACACATTTTCACAATAAGTTCTTTTGAATCTAGTATCTCCTCTCATAATTAGACTTTTTTGAAAAAAGTTAGAGCTTTTAATATATTGCTAAAAAATCCAAATGAGATTTATCATAATTTCACAACAATCCTAATAAAATAAATATAAACTTACCCTGATCTTGCACTACCACATCAAATGGTAAACAAAAGGAAAATAAAACAGTGAAGGAAAAAAATAAAACTAGGATTAAACTGAACTCAAAGGCATACAAAAACAGACAAATAATGTATACTGTAATTTAATTCTGTAATTATAAATAGGTTTTTGTTAGTAAAGACACTGAATACTGCCCTCCGCCTGTTTGTGTGCATGCATGCAGAAATCAGAAAGATAAGCAAGCAAATAGGGATTAGAGACAACTATAAATAGCTGTCATTGTTCCAAGCATTCAGGTAACTGGAATTCTTTTCGCTGAATACAGGATTTTATACGTGAACAGTTGGCCTTGAGAATTTGTTTTAACCCCACCCTCTTCCAATATCAAAGTGAAAAGCAATTCAGAGCAGCTTTACCACTTTTTCTTTTTGATAATGAACATCTCAAGAAAGCAGCGAGGGATCTTTGACACTTCGTGATAATATTGCTTCCTATGTTCAGAATACCTGTCAGGATTCTGAAACAGCTGGATTAAAGTATATCGCTGGGATTTTTAAAACAATAGATTTGCTTCTCATGGAAGTTCAAAGGGCCCTGCTGCTGCTCTCAGCAGTAAGAGTAATAAAACTAAACATTATGATATGTATCTTCATCAACACAGTTTTGTTTCATACCCACTTTCACTGAAATATCTGAATCACAGATACCTTCCCGTGAATAAGCATGTATCCATATTTACTAGCTAGGCAAGGTAATTTCAATCTAAAAGTTTTCATTTGTCTAATGTAGACACTTGCCTTTTAAGCAACTAACAACAAGCAGCCATGAGGCATACTTTAAGCAATACCAGTAAATTTTTGAAAGGCAGAATGTTTACAAAAAAAAGTCATAATTTATCTGCAACTGCATTTTTTGCATTTATTAAAGCGAGACAGTATAGATTGTTTTTCTCTAGGATGAAATTTGTTGCTGGTATTGAGAAAGATCTATATTGTTCAAAGAACAGGCCTACCACTATTTAGATATGACCAAACTAAAACTACTTATTCAACCAAGATGTGGTATGACTTTAAAGCTCTGTAGAAAAAGGAAAATACCAGATCATAATAATGTACGATTGCCTTCAGTGTAACAGTCTGAAGAAAAACAGCTGAGTGTTCTGTTATACAAACAAAACCACATTCCATTCTGACTTTTCAAACCAACACACTGCTGGTTTTCATTAGCAGTCACCAGGCATTATTCTTATTTGTTAAAAGAACTTAGGTACTGCAAGAAATCTATCTTGCAAAGAGAAAACTAGCACACTTTCTTTTCAACATTCACCATTCTTCAGAAGTAAAAAAGCAAGACAGGTCTCATCTTGGTCAGCTTTTTTGACACAAGCGTAAAGACATCTGAACAGAACAGAAGCAACAAAAGTTCAAGGTATATGGCTCAGCTTTGGGTGGAAAAATGTAAAGAATGCCTGATCCTACTTACTAAATTTGAGTATTTCCTGTATTACCATATAAGCATCAAGCCAAGATTTCTACTAGTAGCAGTATCTATTTTTTGTCTATGATTATAGTCTTTGCTTCATCTCTTCTAAGCCTAGGAACAATAAAGCATTCAATAGATACCCAAAAGGTGAGCATTACACTAAAGATTTTCTTGGACACACACTGAAAAAGTTCTCATGACTAGGAAAAGGTAACTGCATATCTAAAAGGTGCCAGAAAAAAGGAAATAGTCACAAATTATTAAAAAACAGGAAGTCAGGGGTATATGGTGCAAGGAAAAAAGATTTTGGCTGTTAAAATACATGAGAGAAAATGTCAAGACAACCTCAAACAGAAATAAAAAAATTAGGGAGCACAGCAGCAGTTAGCAATACAAAAGGAAAGACTTTCAGAGTCACCTGCTAGAAAGGAACCAGCAAATGCATACAGAAGGATGTCTGTACAGAACATCTCATTCTTTCACTCTGTCAACTCTTTCACACTCTGGAGCAAGTTAACAGCCAAAGACAACTTTGGGAAATCTTCCAAATTAATTAAACCCAAAGCAGGTACTAAATATAACAAATATGGGGGAAGGTTTGATAAGAGTCCTCTTTTATCTCCAAGTTTGTTTATTACAGCATTTCAACAATAAGCTTTCAGCACTGAAATTCATTTCAAACTTACCACGACCTATGCTACTACTGATGTTCTGGAAAAAAAAAAAGCAAAAAAAATTCTACAGAAGCTTATTAGCCGTAGCACCATACTAGGCAAAAATACCTGAAAACAAACAAAACAAAAAACAAAACCAAAACATTTTTAAACAAAGCAGTACCTTAACAACAGAGGATTAAAAATAACTGATAACTTACTTTTTCTGCATTTTCCTGTTTTTTTCTGCCTGACCTCCAAGCTTGCTGAGACCTAATGCATCCTGAGAGGAACCATCTGCTTCTGCCATGCCAACTACAAAAAAAAACCAAACCAAAAACCAGTCTTGTTATCTTCTCAGTTTTGGCCAGTTATAACTCAAAAATCACTAATGCTTTCCTGAATAAAAGTATTTAATCCTTTGTAATATTACTGATCAGAAATACACAAAGCCAAACCTCCAAGCCCATCTATCACTCTATTTTCTAGTTGAATTAATACCCATGAAAATGGTATATAAAAATAGGAAAATCAGACTGGTATGGACTCAGGTGCTGTCTAAAACCAGCTGGAGTCACACCAAGAACCTCACATTTCAACCACCTGTAAGATGAATTCTCAGTGTTCCCATATCACTTATGGTTGGTGTCAACATCAAGGGAACTGCTTTACGCAAAGAATTACGCAAGATAAAAAGGTAACCATATCATTTACTAAGCCAGCTGGGTTGGTTTCAAGGGAGTTCCTTTGGGTCCAAAGTGAAGACATGACTGTTGGTGTCAAAACTAAAGCCTCTTTTGCTTCCAAGATACGGTTGAAATTTTTGCTTCACAAGACAAGCCATAACAGTTCAGTAAGTTTCAGTAACCTAGCTACATGAGACTAAATGACAGCAATACCCGATTCGCTGAACTTGCATCCTACACTCATAAAAGGACCTACCAGAAGATTCAGTGTCACTAGTTCCAAAAAACGGTGTACATCAGCATCAAAATAATCAGTCATAAATATGCACATACTAATACATCATGAAATTCAGTCTTCCACTCACTCTCTTACTGTGGGGGAAAAAAAAAAAAAGCAAGCCAACCTTGTCCTAATGTTTCCTTGCTTGTTTGTCCAGGTCGTCCCTTTTCTTTCTTGCCAAACAAGCGGCCAATAGAGGATTTGATCCCCTTCTTTTTGGGGGCTTTATGAAGGGAATCTTGGCTACTATTGCTGCTACTAGGATTACTTGTTTGCCCATCTTGCGAGCCTGTTGAACTTTACAAAAAAAGGAGTCATAAAGGAGCACATGTAGAACAAATTCACCGGTATAACATAGGGAGAGAGAAGTTCAGGTTTCTGTGCAAGTTAACGAAAGCTCAATAACTCACTAATGACATCTAATTTCACCTTTTAATGAGTCAAGAAAAGAAACGTATTTACCAAAATATATGTCATTAAACAGAAAAAAACAGCGGGAACAACTAAATCATGCAAGAAAGGAAGGGATATAATATTTATATACTATAGCATGGAACTACAAGTCAATTCTTACTTTTTTAAGACATGAAAGTGTTTAAAGTGCAATTCAGAGATGCCAAAGTTGACAACACAAGTTCCTGACAAATTGAGGCAGACAATGGAAGTTTGAAATACTTAAGTGGAATCCATCTCAGACACTTACGCACTTTGAAAAGAACATCTGTCAATCAAAATGATTGTAATTCTGCAACTTACTTCTAAATTTATAGCTAAATTTCAATCTATGAAAGGCGACTGGAATTGTACATCTTTCATTTCCTAAACATGAAGCAAGCTTAATGCAGACCTTGATTACCAGAAGAATTCTTCACATAAAGCCATTTCTGATCATTAACAAAATCTGTATTCTTATTGTTTATGTAACATAGTCACCCATTTATATGTTCATACTCTTTACTTTTGAGAAACACTTCAATATCCAAACTAAAATCCTACAGGCTGAACAGCTTTGCAGTTTTAGGATTTTATTCTGATAATCTGAAATACTAAGTTACTGGTGGGTCTGACTTATTCACAGCTACTTACTTTCTTATGTCCCTGATATCTTCATGGCTCACTGTATGCAAAGCTCCTTTTTGGACTCTGTCCAAACGCAAAGATCGAGGTGAAGAAGGTGGTGATGTCTCACATTTTATTGTGGTTTTATCATCTCGTACCTCTTCTCTAGAAGCTGGAGACTAATGGAAAAGGAATGAAAACTTGAGGGGTTAGTTGGAAATGCCAAAACATGAATGCGATATCAATGCTACACAAAATATTGAAAGGGAAAATCAATTATTTCAGTGTTAAAGGATTACTCTTACCCTTACCATTCTGAAGTTGCCTATTTTTTGTTTGACTTCTTGCTGGATTTTCTGCTACCTTCACTGACAAACTACTGAATTTCAGTCTTAGCAATGAGAGCAAGTAGCACTCATCTTTTATTCACTCATAGAGCTAAAAACTAATGTCTTGTCTTCAGCACCATAAAACTAATACACCCGACTTCAGTTTAGGCAAGTACAAAGACAGAAAACCAGAGAGTCCTGTGAAAAGAAGGCATCTTAATTCTCACTGTTATGTGTTTAGACAATCATTAGCAAGATTACCAAGTCTATGAAATCAGTTTCTACAAACCTGTGGCTATGGCTTATCTCAAAGTTTGAATAACAGAAATTAAGACTTATTTGGGTGTGCACTAACAGATCTTTAAGATTAAATATTGTTCCACGAAGACTGCAAAATAGTGGTTACAAACTGAAAGCAACACAACAGTTTCCCCACACCAGCAAAAAAAGCCAAACAAAAAAAACCCCACAAAACAAACCAAACCCACACTTATGCTCAGATGATAAACCATTTTACGTTTAATATCAAAGAACACATAACATTGCTTTATTATAGGGTTACCCTGGAAATGCTTTCTTTTAAGTTCCTGTTATCCATTAACGAGTTTGGGAACAGGGAAGGAGATGAAAGGGCACACCAGTAAATAAACTAAAGAGTTTTACCTTTCTACGGTGTTTCCTTAAATCACTAGGCTGATAGATGCATGCAAAGAAAAGAAGTTTAGAAAAGCCATATTTACTGTAAACTGTAGCACAGGCTAAAACAACTAGTACAGACAAAACATATCAGGGAGAATATAAATAACAATTACAGCAATGGCACAGAGAAAGATACAGAATATGAAGTACTCTTCAAATCACAGATTACTTATACATATCCCTGAAGAGGGGAAAAGGAAGGGGGGGGGGGAAATATCAAGACTTAAGTTGGTTGCCCTACAAAAGTACCGTAGATATTTCAATGTATTGGTACCACAGGCAAATTAGCACACAAAATGTGCATTATCTTCAGCAAGAAAAACAGTAAAGTACATGGGGGTGTAAGGTGTGGCTTTTAAAAAGCAAGAGGATTTCCAGTCGTATGTCAAGGACTTGCCTTGAACTATACAACCTACATGGTAGCCACGGCAGGCTTAACACGTTGTCTGTATTAGTCCCTCCTCACACCTTAGCGATTTCTGCAGTTGCTTTCTACACAGCATAAAAAGCAGCCATACTTTAATACTGTGAAAGACAGAGTGCCAACAATAGCTTATTTCTATACAGTAACAGTATTCTGTTCTTTTTACTATGTTTAAAGTGCTGGAATGTTTCAGCAAGAGTCTACCACTGGTTTTATTTTATCCTCCATCCACTCCAGAAGCCGCTGTATCTCACTTCCTAGGTACTTCCCACATCTGCCAGTGCACAGAGCAAGGCAGCATCCCTGAGTTACACAAACGAGTTATCAAGTTATTCAGACTGATGCTGACAAAAGTTTAATCGAGATAATTTGTTTAATAATTATTACTGTATTTAGTGACAAATTATTTCAAAAGACTGTAACCAAAAATACAGTCAGTCCCCTTTGAAGTTTGGCGGGGGAGTTGTGTGTTGTTTCCCTCCCACAAATGGTAACTTTTTATCATTTTTTATTTAGAATACATGCAAACTATGCAGCATAAATATGTAAAGTTTTGTTGAATCTGACCATAGAGTACAATGTTAATAAATCATAGTTCATAGAATCATAGAAGGGTTTGGGTTGGAAGGGACCTTTGAAGATCATCTAGTCCCTCCTCTTAGACAAAGCACAGCAGACTCATTTTACCCTTACTGGATCTTTCATCTATTACATCTGATAACCCATAAAAATGAAAATGTTTACAATATGGAATGAAAACTGCCCACAAGGACTGTTCAAGAGCGCTGCAGGTTTCACAATTTATCATGTTGATGCTTTTTAATTTATTTTAATCATGAGGGGTTTTCAGCTAACTGAACTGCCTAGCACCACTACTGCAGTTAGCATTAAGCTAATGTTCCCATCATGCTCATAAACTAATGCAAATTTCTATTAAAACATCGAAAAAACCCACAGGAACTCATTCAATCTGATAATTCATAATAGCCATTCCAATAGTTTCTAGAAAGCTCTTGTTCTGTAACTCTAGAAGCATAGCTTCTTGTTTTCATGCTTTCACAAAAGCCGTCACAAATCAGTCGTCAGGTACTAAAACGTCAGACAAATGCAACTGCAAACAATGGATCAAGTGCCTTTGAGTTACAATTCTTATGATCTGAAGTGAACTTAATTATTTTACTTTTGTTCAGTTACATTAAATTTTAACACAAGGCACATTATTCTGATCTAGTTTTCATGAAAATAGCTACTTAAATTTGTATATGGTTTTCTGTAAGAGAAGTACTTAGCTTAACTACTTATTACTGTGAAAAGTAAGAATATAAAGCACTCCACATTTTGAAATTTTTTAGTTTCTGTAAAAGTGTGCTTGACTCTGGATATACAACCAGAGCTAGTATAATGATTTTTTCTTTTTTTAAATGCAAGAAAGGCAAAATGATTCCTTTTTATGAACAAAATAGACCTTTTGGTATACATACACATTCATTTTAAAAAGCCAGCAAAAGTAGTTAGCTGAAATACTTGGTTTTAAACACTCTATAAGAGACCTAAATGAGCCAAGTCAGTCATTTACTGTCCACCTGCTCTTACAGTGATGGACAGCATTCCTTGTCTACTGATTGGTATGGTATAGGCATGATACAAGTGCAGTAATCCAAGACAATAACGTATACTAAGTATGGTGTTGCATGCACAACTAGTAAGTACAGTTTCCAAATGCACATGCAAATCTGGAGACAAAGTAATGTATATAGAGCTAAGTTAGAGAAGGAGCTTCTCCTGGACAGTGCTTGCAAATAAATACCTGTATCCAAGATGCTCCTTAGTGAAAGGTATTCCAAATATGAGAAACTGTTAGGTTTGCTTAACATTTATGTAAAAACAAAAAAATGGAAAACTTATATCGTGTTTTTACAGATCAGTTTACATGCATAAAGCAGCTCCTAGAAGGATTAGTTTTTCTAAGCAGTCATATGAATGTCAAAAGAATGGATCCATCTTTCTCTACTCGCTGAACTGCTAAGCCCAAGCTACTACCTCATCAGCTACTAGGTCTAACAGATACTTCTTTTACCTACCAGTCTTAATAGGCTAAAAAAAGACACTAACACTCGTTAATATTAAAACAGCTGTGATACCGTCAGTCTTCAAGATAGCTAAAAAGTGATTTGCATATATTGCGAAGTATTTAGTGGAATAGTGGACTGCTAAAAATAAAGTTTAAAGCAGAGGGAGAAACTGGTTGCTGTACCAGGGGTTGAAAAGAAAACATTATTTCTTCTAGGAAGAGGAATCAGAAGAAAGACCATAACAACAGAAGGAATACTTAGGCATGAGATGTTGACCAAATAACAGACTTGGTTTCTGAACGTTTTTCCTAATCATTATGACTGTATCTTACACTTTTTATAGAAGTTGAAAGGAAGCAGTAGAAAAACCTAGAGAAAGGAAAAATACAGCTGAGTAAGAAGGAGAGGAAGGGGAAATCAAACAACCCATTTCCTAGAGAAAAGGAACACTCTTCTGAAAAATTAAAGTTAATGGATACTTACCAGTGTCATGATACCTAGTCTGTCCACTTCCCGAGCTGGACTATGTGGAATCCTCCTTGGGGTGGAGCGGCCACTGCCAGGCGGGGAAGAACCAGCAAGTGAGCCGCTTGCATAGGGAGGAGGAATGGAGCTCATGGACCGGAATCGGCCATGGGCATCCAAACTTCCACTACCCACTCTGCTTTCAATCTCCTCTGCACGCTGTTCTGTGTTTTCCTTTTCTTCTTGTATAAGTCTACAAGAAAAAAGTTTCAGAGGAACATGACATTCAAACAAGCACCACAAACAGAGAGGCTGACTCAGGCATTAGAAAGAAGGAGCACCCGGCAGACAAAACAGCTACACTGAAAAATCTTCTACTCCAATCTGAAAAAAAGTGGTAAACACTACTGCTGTCACCATCGTGCAGGGATTTCTGTCAAACTAGTAATACACAATCCCTTCCATAAATAGGACTGAAGACAAAGAACCTGAATAGTAGTTAGGCATAAGCAAACTAGTTACTTCTGTCAACCCATCGCCAGGAAACTGAATGGGCAACACCATTAACCAAGTAACCACACAAAAAGGATTTCTAGTGTCACAGAAATTCATTTTTATCAAAACCTTAATAGCAGATAGACCATACCTAATCTCTTTGTTGATTGCATCCAACTGTTCTTGAAGCATCATGGCCAAAGTCTGAGCATCAGCCTGACCACTTGGTGACAGCAGATCAACTGAACTGAATATAGTCTCCCTATCATCCTCAACATCAGACACATCAACATCACTTTCAAATGCTTGTGCCACATTTGCCAATACACTTGCTTGCTGGGCTCGCTCCCAGTCCTGCTCATTCAGAGTTTGAACCTAAGAGAATTAATTAAAAAAAAAAAAAAAAAAATCAAACTCAAATGGGAAAAACACGACACTTCTACTGTTTTTCAAGATGTTAAAATATTTTTTTAAAAGCCCACTTACATGCTGAATGCATCCATCAAGACAGCAATGTTTAGAGAAATGTGGAAAAAAAAAGCTATAATGTAGAAAACTTTGCATCTTACAGTTAAGTGAAATTTAAAAATGGACAGCCCCATTGAATAAATTAAAACATAACATATCTTGGCTAAATACACTCTAAATTACGGCAGAATTTTGCTATCAAATCCAATGAGAATTTTGGAATCAGCTTTATGTAATGAGAACTTATGTGTCCTGATAGGGACTTGAAATTACTTGCGGAACAGTAACATGATAGATTTATGTATAGACACAAAAGTAGGACTGTTTCAAATTGTATTTTACAGGCTTATCATACTTAAAACAAATTAGACTTCAAAATCCCAATTTTGCAATTATTTGTTTACAATTAAAAAGACTAGCAGCTATGCATTAGTTAGTAAAACAGGATACATAAAATCTAGCAGTTTTATTGCTATGTACCCCTATTCTAAAAACTCCTTGCAATAGATTACCTCATCTGATCTACTTTGTTGCCAAAGTTTTATTTTTATTTTAATTTCAGAGCTCTACTACCTTTGAAGGTTCGTCTCTGAGAGCTGCCAAACGTCCTTTTTGGGGACGCCTTAACACTGATGAGGTGCCATAGGAGTCTGTATGACTGTCAGCCACAGACGAAGATGTCATAGGGTACCTGAAGTCTGGTCGGCTAGAACACGAAGAAACATTTTATCCTTATGAAGGTAGGGGGAAGAAACAAACCAAAAAAGCCACCCAAATGATTCCTATTGTCCCACCAGTGCCATTTTTTTTTTTTAAGCAGTATAAAAACTGCTTTATATGCTCTACAAAGAATACGTTTTATAGCTATGACTGAAGTATTTTCAGTTATAATAGGCAAAATTACATTTAGCAAAGTGACTTTAAAGAAATTAGTAAAAACTGCACTACAGTTAAGTGCTGGTACCTATGATGAAGTGATGTGGCTCTAAGTCTCACTTGGTCATTTTCAGCCCTTAATGCATCAACATTTAATACAAGTTGATCCTGTGAAAATAAATAGATAAAATACATAACAATATGCTTTAAAAAAAAATCAGTGTCAAACACTGATTTATAAACTAACACTTAGTTATTTGATCTCATTTCTATGAAACTCAGAAAAAATAGATTTTAAAACATACCCTTCAATGACGTAAAATGTAAAAATTATTTTTACTACACGCCATACAGCACCATCACAAAAGTGCATCCAAGAATAATTCTGTTGCCTCTCTACACTGTAGCTTTAGGTAATGACAATGTGTATTTTAAAAACAGCTACTAAGTAAAATTCACATATTACTAACTTTACTATAATTAAGTGATAATATTTAATAAGCAACAAGAAAATTTTTCAAGCTCTGTGCACAAAAGGTTCTAAATGCATTCACTTTTAACTTGGACATTTTTACATGCTCTAGAAACTCAGAATTTAACAACAGAGAAATCCAATGACTGAGAAAACAACGAAAAACTAATAAAAGTGGCTGATGATGAACATCTGTGCCTTGTGTGAAAACTGCTGGCCTACACATACAAAAATCCAAAGCACATTCTGCAAAATATTCTGAATGCGTTCTTCATTTTATTACAGAAGCACAGCCTCTACAGTTTGGCCTAGCTACTTACTAGAATGATTTGGGGAGATGCAGTACACCTGTGATTTAATAAGCAATAACAAGTATTATTTCAGAACAGATAGCGTGACCACAAAAATCAATTGCCACTGCTTAAGGATGCAAAGAAATGAAAGGCCCCACCACTATTATTCAAGAAGGGAACTTGTCAGTTCCAGGACAAGCAAAACACCAGCCAGCTGCTATTGCAAAGGAACAGCCAAGTCTAATAAATATTTCTCTCCCTGCCCCCAATTCTTAAAACTTCAAAAAATTTTTATCAGTCGAACAAGCATTTCATGATACCCAATACTTTAAGAAAAAACTTATGGAAAAATACCCAACATTAAAAGTATTTATCTTTTCTTTTTACTGTTCAAAGTCATACATACAACAGTATAAAAATTCTACACAATCTTCAAGCTTTGGCAAATTGCCAATATATCCAGCCACTTTACATATTCAGAAGTGCGTTAAGTCTTTGAGTAAAAAGGTATGTATTACCTATAAAATCATCATAAAACTGAGGCACATAGTACCATAAAATGAGCAATAAGCTCCCTACTTTTAAACAGACCAGGTAATGTTAAGTTTTATGGGGGAATTCAAATCTGGTCCTGCTATGTAGCAATGCAGCAATTATTTTCCAATATAATATTTCAGAAATGTGTGTTATACCTTTTCATGCTGAAGTTCCTCTATTTGTTTTTTTGCATTTTCAATTTCTCGAAGAAGTGAATTCTAAAATAAAATGTATCACAAAATACGTTACTTATAAAACCTTTCAACTCTTAAACCATAACCAAGATGAGCATCAAAAAATTTCAGTCAACACTATACAGATGCATCTTAAGTTACAGATACTTTACTGCTTACATCATTTCACTTTGATTATGGTTGAAGTTTTATCCTTTCAGGTGTACAGCCCTCTAAATAATGGATTTAGTAATAGTACAAGTTCCATAAAAATTTAATACCAATATCAGCCATTTAAAGCTCCGTTCAACAAAACTGGTAAAAAAAAGGAATAAATAGCAGCTAAAATAATTCAAAGTAATTCACTGAGTGGTTACTAAGGCATTACTGGCTGTTATCATTATGTTTTCATTTTATTTTCACTGGCCTGACATACAACATTACTATACAATAATATCTTGGATGTACTGTACCTTCAGAACTGCAACACTCACTGACTTACAGGCCTTCATTAACATCAGAGCTGTTGTCTTTACAGTTAAACCATGACTTCTAAATAACTCCAGTAAATATAAATACTTATGACTACTACAATCTCTTTACTCAAAGCAGTTTCCAAATTCAGACTAAGAAACATCTGGGAATTAAGAAACATTTGAGAGCTACAACAAGCAAAGAATTTCAACTACTGTATTTGACTGTAGTATGTGGTAAGGGAAGGATTATAAAAAAAAAAAAAACAATCAGAGATTCCCCCTTCTACTAGGAAACTTATAACTGGGTTCTTTTCCTTTTCCACTATTGCCAAGAAGTTGGGCTAAACACATTTCCTTGAGGTAAGTAATACCATTATTTGCATCTTAAATGTGTAATAAAGTTTCATACATGAACAAACAAATCATTCCGGGAAAAAAGGCCAAGTGATCAGAAGAAAGTCTTAAAATTTTACCTGCATATTTCTTTCCAACTTATCATAAAAGAATAAGCTGCAGGCCACAGCAAGAACACTTTTCTAGAAGCTGTTACTTACATTGAAGGACAACTAGATTTTCCTCATTATTCATGAACATAGTTAGGGTTTGGGAAGTAAAGGGGAGTTAGGGTTAACCCTAAGACACCCACCCAATATTCAAGCATTTAAAAAAAAAAAAATGCAGTAAGCTGTTTTTCAGAAATTGAATTTATAAAGACTTTTTATTAGAGCGACCTTGTTGATGTCATAACAAGAATTTCTGAAGTATTAGGGGCAGTTGGTGATCTTGAAAATAGTGATGTTAACTAAAAACCCCAAGACAAAGTCTGCAGCCTTCGATGCCAGATGATAAGCACCTTTATCATTAACTCAAAGGACGAGAATCAGTAGGACCTACAGTTGTTCTGCACTACCTGATTCCTCTCAGCTCTGAGAGCGCAAAAGCAGGGAAAAGAACAACCTAAATCTTTGTAATGATTTGAGGGGAGCAGAGTCCTGGAATTCTGGAAAGGCATGTCAGATACCTGACTGATGGTTTAGGGATGAGAACTGAGTTGACATGAATACAAGAGAAAATAAACATTTATTAAAGTCTGAATACATCATTATATATTGCAACTGAAGCATTTTATTGCCATGACTTTAAAACAAAAACCACTCAGCTTTTATTGAAACATTTCCCCAGATGGTCATTTCCCCCTCCAGTAAAAGAAACTAAGTATTTTTTTCATCCAAGACAAAGAAATTTAAAGTCAGCATCAAGCAAAGTGCTACTTTAGAAGACACTGTTTTGTTTGACGCAGAATAAGGGAATCCTTAAAGACATGCATGGAAGAAAAATCCATAAGGACCTAGATTCAAAAGCAGAAGGGAAAGAAACAGAATAAATTATGTCACAAGTTAGAAGATGAATTGAACACAGGGGAAAGCTCTGTGACGTGCATTGACAACCCAGGGAACAGTCCATTTACATTCATATAACCTGTCTCAAAATGATCTACTTGGGAAGAAAATGCAAGATTGTTTCAATTTGCAAGAATCCCACAATGACTCAGCATAACTGATACAGAAAAAAAGCAATGGGAAATAAAAGAAACTGAACTGAAAAGGTCAACGTTCTAGTCCTAATTCTTTAGACTTCCTGTATTACACTGGATGAGCCTATTTATGCAGTCCACACCAGCCAACTAAGAAAGGATAAAGCTTCTCAAAAGATGTCTTCTCAACACTGTAGTACAATGCCCACGAACAATCTCAAAAAAATTAATTTTAAGAACTTATTTTCAAAATCCACACTTGAAAACAGCCTTAACAGAAACTACTAATTAATAAGGATTCAGTATTTATTTACTGAAGTTACAGACACATTGCAAAATACACAAATCACTACAAAATGTTGAACATACAATTAATGTATATGCTGGAATATAAGCTTGTTACCTTATCTTCCAAGGCAGCCATCCTTTCCTTGAGATGAAGCTGAAGCCTTTCATTAGATTCAGACAGAAGCTTATCAACAGTTTCTGACAAACGTTTATTATGCTCTTCATTCATCTTCTCTCTTTGTCTAGCCTAAGATACATAAAAGCTACTGAAATAACTTAAAATTTACAACATCTATAACAATTTCCAGGTTGTGAAACCAGTAAATTTTCTTTAATACAAATGCATTTTATTTAATAGAAATATTTTTCCAAAGGCGTAAGAAATACTGCATGTATCCCCATGACTCTGTAAAGGAGTGTAAGGGACACTTAAGACTTCAGTAACTGTTCCAAGATCAGAAGCTTGAAAATCTGAGCTTACACTTCAAGAAAAGGCAGATTTCAGAACCAATTCCATTATTTATAACCTAGGAACCAATTTTTCCATATTCACTTAATTCTGCAAGTTTTTGATCTGTCTCCTTATCAGAAAGTATGACTAGCAATTAGGTATTTCCAAACATATTTGAAATTGATTTGGAGACTTCCAGCTTTTTCTTGAGATTTAAGGTTAGCCATAGTACAGTGGCTCAAATCTCCCAACTACCAGCCCACCTAAACTCCAGCTTTATTTTAGAGATGAGAAATAAAAACAGCTCTGCTGAATGGTAGGCAGCCATGAAGGGGATTAGATTCTTTCTTTCAGCTTTGTATCTTTGCCAAAAATATGCATGGTACCCTTTGCAGTTCTTGATTCTTTTCTTCTAGTTGTGCTTCCATCTGTCTCAGTCGTTCCTCTATATTGCCATGTCTCTCCTCAGCCTGTCAATTTGAAAACAAAATCAGAATTTGTTTTTGGTTTTTTTTTTTTAAAGTTTCGGAAGCATAGAAACATTGAAGCACAATAACATATCTAACATGCTTTGCGCAATTGCCATTTATGGTAATACACAATGCAGAACGGATGCCTTTCTGTCACTAAAAGGACCTAGTAAGAGTTCATATGGTAAGTAACAAAATGATGAAGCCTCTCACCCCTAAGTACTATGAATCAACTACTATTTGCAAATGAGCTTACAACAGCAGTAGTTCATTCAAATCCCCAAGAATTAAAAAAAAAAAAAAAAAAAATTAATGCGTTTTCAGCTTTTCCTTACTAGCCTAGACAATATGACCCTTTGTTAGTAATCATGACAAAGCAGGAAGCAGCAAGCAGAAACAAGGACTAATATACAAATTCTACCTTCCTAAGCTTGGTGGTAAGTTCCAATACTTTAGCATCTTTAGCAGCAGAGTTCCCAGGAGACAAAAGGTCAGACTACAGAGCCAGTTAGGGACAGGAAAGATAACAGGGAAAGAAATGAAACTGAGACTTGAAAAGAAGACACACACACACACTTGAAATGGCTCATTTGTGGTTATTACACATAATTCTTCAGACTTCATTATTCCATTTGCAGCCTTCTAAAAATCCTAATATTAATAAGTACCATTACTTCTTTCTCTCCCCACATTCCTCAGTTGGTTAACAGTGGAAGAAATTTGGGGTTCTCCTTCAGAACTAGTTCTTGGTTTAGAAGACTTTATGCCTATTATTTAATGAATTTTAATAAAAAGCAATAAAATAATAATTCAGAGACATTTTCATAATGTAACAGAGTTAACAGAAAACCTGCTCGAGTTCCAAAGAGCAGAAATTATAAAAAAAAAAAAAAAAAAGAGTAAATTAGAGTGTGTTCATAGAGATGAACAGAAAATGCAGAAAACAACGAGAAACATTTTCTGAACTAGTTGGAGGAAAAACAGAAACACCATTAACAAACTCAACGCTTTAAGAACAGATTTCTTGTAGCAGGACACCAACAGAGAAGAGAGTCTTGATGACACTGTCCAATTTTTTGACTCACCTTTGAAAGTGCTGCAACTCTCTGTGCCAGCTCAGCTTCAACCTCCGGCAAAGTTTCAGCTTTTCTCAAAGTTTGCTGCAGCTTTTGCTCAGCTAGTTCCAGTCGTTCTTGCAATTGCCTATTTTTATCTTCACTCTACACAGGATTATGATCAGCAAATGTTTAGTGTTAAAATAGTAATTAATTTTCATTAAAAAGGAAGGTAAGGATACAGCTTACTGGCTTTACTAGACCTATGGAGAACAAACTGTCCGAAACTGGTTTCATAACCAAAGATGTGGCATCCTCCCCTTCGTTACATGAGAGAATGTATTTCTGTACAAAATTTTCTCTGCAGACAAATGTCAAGGCTGTGTTAAGACTCTGAGTTACATCAAGGAAAAAATTCCTTCATATTTTCAATAATGCTATGCATATTACCGGAAAATTTATTTTTATTTAAAGCGTGTACCACTTTTTAAAAAAATTATACTAGAAGGGACTTCTCTTGTTGACTAAGAGTTGCCTGGCTTCCTCTAGTTAGAAAGTGATTGACTAAACAACCATTTCTGGTTTTGAGTTGGCCTACTTCACATTAAGCATATGTCAAATTTCCTCCTGCAGTAAGGCAACGTTTACTTCTATTACAGGCTATAAAAATCACTACACACTACACGAATTTTAAAACTGTTTTAGCTTAGAGTGAGTAATTCTCACACATGACACTAAGGATGCTTGGATACACATATAATAACTTAAAAATCCACAATTAATAGGGACAACAGCCCTGCTGCACCATGATCAAGTGCACTAAAATGCTCAAAACCATTTCCTCTCTATAGTAAACTGTCTCATCTTCATTTCCAGTGTGAAACTTTGTACAATGCACTCCTCCAGTTACTGAAAAACAATCGCTAACAATAGCACATTCCAGATGATATTTATCTTCCTAAAAGCAAAGTGCCTTGGTACAGTAGGGACATTAATTATTTCCATTAGTTTTACGCTGACCAAAATGTACTTTATCTTATTTCAAATTACAACCTGTCGATGCATGGAGTCTTTAGTGGCAATTTCATTTTCAAGTTTATCATTGAGGTCATGCACAGATGTAGCTTCACGTTGTGCAGCGAGGTAGCGTTTCTCAAGAGTTGTGATTCTCTCTTCCATGTCTTCCTTTTGGGCCATAGTCTATGCAAGACACAAGACAGAATTTTGACTATAAGGAATAATTATTTAGTGATCAAACTGGGGGGAAAACCCACAAACCAAAAATAATAATTAAAAAAAAAAAAATCAGATTATTAGTCTGTTATTTCTCAGTAAAAAAATGAAGTAGAAAGAATAGTGTCTCTTAGGCTTACATGTTCAAGGACTTTTTTTTTTTTGAAAAACAGTGAATGTTTAAAAAGGCTGGTCTTTATTATATTACACCACACAGATCTCCTACTTACCTTTTCAATGGCACAAACACAGCAAATCTTTACTTCCTGGGGACAGTCAGAGTGTTCTTGGATTTAACTAAGCTCCCTTTCTATTTAATAAGGACACAGCACACTGCAATACATAGGACCTCGGAGATTAGCGATTGATCAGTAACAGGAACTGTCAATCACACCACTGAAACTAAAGTGATTCCTCAACCACATACATCTTTAAAAATAAAAAATTTGAACTTCATAAGCTTAGCATTTATGACAAGATCAAGCATCTTTTCAATAACATGTTAAAGTTTGCAATGCTAAATCTCTAATTTAATATATTAATGAAGTATCTAGTTAGTCATACATTTATTCTGAAGACAGATTTTCTTAAGCGATTGGTCTCAAACAAAAAATAGCACCATCATGCCCTAAACAATTTTCCTCTCACCTATCAAACCAAAGACATTCAAAAGCATACCAATGACACTGAAATTTTATAAAGCAGTTGCATTTGTGACTACCTAGATTTTGACAGTTTATTCCTCACCTCTCGTACATCTCTCTGTAACTTTGTATTCATTTCTTCAGATTTTATTAAGTCTTTTCTAGCTGTGTCAAGATCTTCTTCCAGCTCTGTTACTCTGCTAGACAAAGCAGTAAGACGTTCTTTCATTTGTGTCTGCTCTTTGTTTTGCTTATCTATGATGTCTTGGAGTTCAATCACTTTAGCAAGGTTTTCATCGTGGCATAAAGAACCATCAGAGGATCGCTATTAAACATGGGGGGAGGAAAAAAAAAAAAAAAGTATTTGCATGTTATACAGAAATTTGAAAAACAATTACTTACCTGTAAACACCCCTCCCCCAAGATATTTTTATTCTTGGATAGACTGCAAAAATTGAAATTGTGGTAACTGAGACTTTTTAATTAAATCATCACTCAAAAATCTTTTATTATAGTTTAAAATTAAAATATTAAAGTTAATGATTAAAAATCAGACACCAGCTAAAAAAGTAAATAGCTGCACCTTTCCATTTGTAGTTGGTGTATTTTCTTGTTCGTGATTTATATCCAGCATCCCATCTGGAAGTGTTTTCTTCTGATTATTTTGCTCTTTCAGAATCATTAACTAGAAGAAAAGAAAAGTTTATATACATATGTTTCGAGTCAATTCCTTTCTCACTAATAATATAAGGAACAGCTGCAAAAGCAAAGAAGCAAAACAACAATTACCGATTCTACTGCAAGGTCTGTATTAATAAAATATGGCACAGGCACTCAAAAACTTATGCCATTGCAACCCAAAAATTCTTACTTTAAAGCCACAGGAACTCTTTTTGGTTTTTTGTTGGGATTTTTTTTTGGGGGGGGTGGAGGGGGTGTGGGTGTGTGGGGG